ATTTCATTCATTACCAAAAAGAATATTACAGCTGCCAATACAATCTAACTGTTGCAAAGACTAGCCAATGTGAATGTGACACATGGCATTACAAAGGCAATAGATACTGTTAGGAGGAAAGGCAATCTGAACCTTACACTTGGCATATGAGCACAAGTAACTTACCTAACGAGACTTAATGCAGCTGAATATAAACCAACTAATTAATCTACTAACTAATCAGAAATTTAGCTAAGCAGTTTACAGTTTAACAGAATCATCCCTAAGCACTACCTTGATAGCATTGCATGCATGACGGTAAAGTACATATATATTTCTTCATATCTACATCGAATTTTAAGCAAGAGGAAAACATTGCATGCCTATTTTTGGAGTTTTGTAACATCTTTAGGTCAGTTCCTTCCAATTTTAAATGCATTTATGACCAATTATATTTCTATAACATATAAGAAAATGATCAATGTTGCATGTTGATCATGTGCATCAAAGAAACCAGTGCATCACTATCACTGCTAGAACAGTGCACTCTCAATAATGCAACCCTGAAACCAAAAGGCCTGTCTCAATGGTGTAGAAGAATTTAAGAAAACTTTGCATGTATACACCAATTTACAAGTAAAACTTAAAGCACGACAAAATTAAAAGAACAAAAACTTCTTCTACAAATAGGATGTGTTTGCACACCTGTTTGTATCTATGGGCTATGAATCTGTGCCTATACGCCAGTTTTATATTGTTGGAATCATCATATGGAGGACCAAACCCATCTTGGTTGAAATCATAATCAGAAAGATTCCCTCCATCATCGTACTGGCTCAGGGCATCAAGAGAGGGTTTATTGCAGTTCTCAATCTGCATCACCAATCCCAAAATTTTCAAAATTTCAAATGCCATGTAACTCAGCAAAGAATATACGTACATACATACATACGACTATCTGTATTTGTAATTGAAGGTCTAAACTTACTTGTTCATAAAAGAAATGATCGTCACACAAAGCAAGAATGTGCTTCTCCCACATCTTTCCGATTTCAACACCCTCTTGGATATTCTTCAAACCATTGAAAGCCTCCGCATACGTTCCGTTCAACAAAGACTTGAGCAGTATAAGAGTCTCATCCATGTCCCATATATAGACATTTATTTTCTGATCCATCCTATTTTGAGAAAACCCATTTGTCACACTAGTACTTTCACCCATTATCTTCTTCAATTTTGGTGTCAATCCTAAGGAGCTAGTTCCCAGCCTGGAGACTGGAGAATTAAACAATCAGAATATACATTTTGTAACTCTGAGCCAAACTAATCAATGAACACAGTTTGCTTGATTTGCTAAAACCACACACACAAACTTCTCGTTGCTTTTCAAACAACTACAAAACTAGACTTAATTTTAGTGAGCAGAAACATTAAGGGGCACAAAAAAGACTTGTCAATGGCTATATAGAAACATTCTCAGAGAACAAAAGCTTCTGCCCAGACGGGTTGTATTAAAAGATATCTAAAACGAAAATGAAACAGCAACCCAGTTGTAATTGCAATCAAAAACTACAGAATCAAACACAACTTCAGATTAATGATGAAAAGCATTCAAGCTTAGATTCTTACCTTTGAGGTCAGGTGGAACAGTAAAATCGTGGCAACGAAAAACAGATAGTAAATATATACGACTTCCTTTGGGCTCCAGAGCTTAGGCACAGCTCACTTTTTATTTTTGGCTTATTATCACAAAAGGTCCCTAAGGTTTACGAAACTATCAGATTGCATCCTTAATGTTTTTTTGTGTCACTCGTGGTCCTCAAGGTTAGTATGTATAATCACAAATGGTCCTTGCCGTTAGGTTCCGTCAAAAACTCCGTTAGTTTGCTGACGTGGCATATATACATATCACAAAACATCCCTAAGGTTTACACATCTATCACAAATGGTCCTTGCGAAATGTTTTAATTTTTTAATTTAAAATTCATAAAATTTTGGTTTTCTTTTTTA